GAAAGCACTGAAGTAGCTCACCTGAAGCTGAGCACAGTAATACAGGGTTTAACAATCCAAGCCAGATTTACAGCAGCCCATAGTAGTGTAGTGCTGTAATTAATGGGAGACAGCGGTGTCAGCACTGTGTGAAAGTTCAGTGAAGTCTGACTGTAGCTGTGAGAAAATCCCATTTCTGTAGAAATATTCTGTGCTATAAATGTTTGTGGTGAGAAGGCGATAGACAGCGATGGTACTTGGGAGTGAAAAACCTCCCTTCCTTTGGTTTTCGAGCTTGATTCTGAAACATGGCTGAACGTGTCTGTCATCTTCATATCTCACCCAGATGATGAAAACTGTGCAGGAAGCCTGCTGACTTCTGTCTATAGCATGAATTAACAAACTGTAATTCTGTTCCAGGAAAAAGGATTCTGAGGAGGCTGAAGTGAGGGGAGCTGTGATGGGGCTGCAAGTTCAGAAGTCATCCTTTTGTTTGCATGGGGTCTTAAGATCCAATCAAAATGACCTTATGGATGTTTATAAGTTAGCATTAGGTGCAGACAAGTCCCCAAAGTCCCCTAAATATACCTGTTGCAATGATTATTAATTTAAACAACAGGTATACAGTGAGCTTGCAGTGAAACTAAGGTATCGTGCATAGCTGTGGGATCTGCAGCCCATCTTCTCCACCCAGAAGTCTACAGAAAGTGGCCTTTGCCTTTCCCATGGTACAGCAGAGTCTGCACAGAATTACATGCAGAGCCCGAGCTGTTTCCCTGCTTTCATCAAAGCTGAAGGCAGAGCTCTCCAACAGGCTTTCACAGTCGGGGACCAGAGGCTGATGTGAAAGGGGGAGGATGGTTTGCATTGGCAATGTGCTGTACTCATCTGATAGCTCAGCTTCTCTCTCACCCCTCTCTAGTACCTCTGCTCTGCTTCGGTATTTCTTTAGTGAAATATCTAAGAGGATATTTCTCAGAGCAGCTTTTTGTTCAGAGTGGCAGTTTATCACTTAAAAAGTAGATAATGTAGGTAGCACTAACTGAAATCAATCTCACAAAATGATCTGTTGTGACATTTGCATGGTAAGTTTGCTGAAACAGATAAGTTACATCAAGAAAAAGGTTGGAGCTGAAACCTTGACACAAAATACGCACACAGACATAAAAATCTTAAAAAAAAAAAAAAAGTAAAAAGGTAATTGTTAATCTACACCCAGCCCCAGTTTGTTTGTGATCTTCAGCCACTGAGGCTTTGATGCTGCATATCAGAAACATGGGGAGAAAGGCAAAATCAAAAAGCAGTATTTTTACAACCAGTCAGACCCGTTTCAGAGCACGTTCTCAAGGCAGATATTGCTGCCTATGTCACCCAGTGCAGGTTGCAGAGATGTCTGCAAAATGCAGCTATGAGATGCTTACTGCCTTGTGCTGCTTTTCAAACAGGTTGAAGCTGAGAGCACTGTTCAATTATCCTCCATTTGCTGAACAGAGCGTGGCTGGAAAACAAAGCAAAACCAAGAAACCATAAATGCCAGATCTGGTAAAAATCTATTTCTGCGTTTTTTTAATGCTATGATCTGTTTTCTTATACCTCTGTGGGCATATCACAATTTTCCATTGGTTCTGAGCCTTTTTTTTTTTTTTAATTGCAAATTTACTGTTGGCACATTGCTTAAGTGTTTGGCTGCACTATTGATGCTGTGTGATATGGGGATGGCAGAGTCAGCAAAGCAGAAAAGCTAATTTGTCCCTTGCGTGTGGGGACCATCTCCGGGTAGATCTGTGTGGTGCTGGCAGAGTTGTCTCCTTCTAAGGATAAGGAGAGAGTTTTATTTTCTAGGGCTGCTCATACATCCCCTTCTGTCAATATTATGGGAAGTAAGTGAATATTTCTCAGCAGTGAGAAGATGAATTCCGGCTTGCTGCTCTTGAGGAGAGTGTGTGAGGATTCCCGGAAGAGCTTGGTTCAATTACAAAGGTTGGAACTGAAACTAATCATTTATTTAGCAGGGAACAGAGCATTTTTGCTAAGATAGTTTCATATGCATTCCAACAGGGGCTTGGGCTCCTCAGGCTCCTTTTTAAAGTAAGATGTTGAGCAATGAAATCCATTGCAATTGAGATTTATCCTGATTAATTGTCATGGTGCTTAGGAAGTTGTCCTCTAATAAAGCAGCTGTCCCTGTTGGCTCTGGACTTCCCTGTTTACAGAGCACTGTAGCTGTCTTGGTGTTCTGCTTCTCATAGCCACAGTGATGCCAACAGCTTCATTTATGAAAGATCAGATTTGCTTCCAGAAATATTTGAAGTCAACAGTTAAATTCAGAAACACAAAACATGAGTAATCACGGACAGGCACTCAGAGTGGAGTGAGAATTGAAGAATCATAGTCAATCCTATGAAAATATCCCTGGTTTCTGGCAAAATCCTTAGCTATATCTATTATGATGTTTATTCTGATGGAATTTTTAAAAGTATGCTTATAGATGTTTGTAAATACTCTCATGTGGTTATCCAGAACTACTTGAAACACGTTATCGAGGTGTCCTGACCAAATCAGCAGTTAAGATTCTTTGAACCCTATAATACAGCGATTCCTTTACAGAAGAATATGCTTACATTGTCAGAATCCTCAGATGAGCTTTTGTTTTGGGTCCACAACTCTAAAAGTGTTTCTGAAGAAGTTCGGTCATGTGAGTACCACAGGAGAAGCCTGCCTAGGAGTAGCTCTCCTGCAGAAGCAGAGAGTAATTGTCATCTTGATTGGAAACTTAGTGGGCTTTACTCGGAGCATTGAAGAGATGTTCTCTGTTGATTCCTGAGTGCTTTCCCAGAATGAGGAATATTATACTGATCTGTGTTTTTTTGCTGTTGTTGTTGTTTGTTTTGTTTTGTTGTTTGGTTTTCTTTTTGTTGCTGTTGCTTTCTTTTCTTTCTGCATTATCTGTATCCCCCCCCACCTTCTTCCTTTTGGATGGGCAAGTATATGTGTGCGTGTTACCTGTGGAGCAGAGCCATTCTTCCACCTGGTCAGGTAATTCATTAGATGTGCCTCAGTTTCCCTCGGGTGATGTGCAAAAAAAGGGATAAAAATACAGATTATTGCAGATCCTAAAAGTGCCAGCAACCACTGAGGATGCAATGGATGTGGTAATACTTCAGAGAGGGTAAATATTTCCCCTGTTTCATTGCAGGTATTGTTCGCTCTGCAGACTGAGTCTGTGTTGGCAGAAGGAGTCCACAGTCTGGGTGTGCACAGCCAGCTGTCCCTCAACACCTGGGAGCAGCAGGTCCCCGTAGCTTGAGAAGGGACAAAGATGAGCTGTGAGCTAATGGGGAACAAGCAGGAGAACAAATCCTTGCTGCAAATACAGTTAGTTTTTCTACCCTTAAGCCGAGTGGCAAGATAAAAGACCCTGCTCAGCTACCCTTGTTCAAGAGGCATTTGGATAATGCCCTGAATGTGCTTTAATTTCTGGTTATTTGTTAAGTGGCCTGGCAGTGGGACTCGGTGATTTTTGTAGATCCCTTCCAACTGAACTATCCTATCCTAGTCTATTCTTTACATTTTTTCAGCTGTTGTCACCAACTGAAGCACCAGATGTCTGCACTGAACAGAAAAATTAAATATAGCCTCCAGAAAAGCAGTTGGGAAAAGGAAAGGAGAACCAAGTGGCAGAGAGGGGAAGTGTAAAGGATCTCAAAGGGCCTGGAAAGTGAGGTTCATCAAGTTCCAGATAGCCTTTGTGTAGGACGTGGTAGTGGTGGTACACATTTGGCATCAGTATTGGAGGTACTGGTTGTGTGATTTACCCTGGCGGATGGAGCACTGTGCTCCCCCAGTCTTCAAGGTCTGGAGTTAACCTCCACCTCTGACCTTTGGGGCCTATAGGCACACACATATGTTTAAAAAAATTCTAAATGAACTGCACGAATGAAAAGGTAAAATATAATTTAATTACAATCTTAAGTACACTTTTATCTGTACTGCTGTAAGAAATGCTCTCAAATTTGTTGAGGCAAAGAAATAGACAGGTCTCCCACACTGTCAATTAAAAAGTTCCAGTCCAAATGCTTGTTTTTTTTTTCTTTTTTTTTCTTTTTTTTTTTTTTATATATATATATATATATTTGTGCTATCTCTGCTTCTGTGACCTCCTGTAGGACACAGATAGACAGCTGTTTGTTTATTCACATGGATCCAGCAAGACATTTTTACCATATGTTCCTCTTGCTTATTTCTGTTTTTCTTTTTTTTTTTTTTTCTTTCAGGCTAACAGGCCTGTCACATCACAGAGGAAGAAAAACCATGCATGGTCATAAGCAAGAGTCAGTTTGTCCAGATAAAGGGATGGAGTTGGGCAGCAGTGAAGAAGGCTGACATGGTAAGTACACGGTCATATACAGCCACGGGAAAATACTATACATGTAATTCAAGACAGAAAAATGTCTAAGTGCGTGCCTGCCTAGTGCATTCAGTCTGAGAAAAATATGCCACCTCCCTAAATTCTGCTAGCCTTTTTTTGCAGATGTGGTAGTTATGTTCTTTATGAGCTATAAGTTGTGATTTCTCTATTCCACTGTCTCACAGACATCTCAAATGTCATGTCTCTATCTCCCTTGTCACATGCAAGCCTACCTCTGATTCTAGCTCCCCATTTTTCTGGTCCCTATAATTGACATTTATCTTTCTATGCTGTCTTATTAGGCTTGAGATTTGTTTTCCCAGCTTTCAGGTGCCTTCCTGCAGTGCCCTGGTCACATTAACCACAGAAGGGCACCTAGCCACATGTGTGAGATTGTAAGCCATGTTCAGAGCACCACGTGCTGAATTGCCTTGCTGGATAAAGAGAGGGCAGAGCCACTCACAGAACTCAGTTACTCCTACTTTTTTTTTTTTTTTTTCTTTTTAGCATATTCAGCTTCCTCTATGAATCTCAAGTTATGTTCTCCCAACCTGGAAATAAAACTAGCTTTCTTTTTTTTTTTTTTTTTTTTTTTACTGTTGCTTATAAATGCCTCAGGGCTGGCAAGGTACGGTATATTGTCTCTTAGTTCTGCACTGAACCGCCCTCAGTGACTATATATTTATTGTTTGTTTCCATTTATTTTCTTAGAAATGTTAACACAAAAAAAGACTCTGTCTGCTCAAGGGAACACAGAGAGGCTGAATGACGAATTTGAATGGGAAAGATTGTTCTGTAGACTATTTTGTGAGATAGAGAAGTTGTAGTCATTGTGTGCTTAGAGGAGAGAAAAAAGAAGAGGTTTCAAAGGTCTTGACAAGGTGTGTGAAAGGCGTGTGGAACCAACAGCCTGTACAGTAGCACGGGGTGGCATTCCTGACTCAGGTCAGCCAGTTCTTGTGCTTAAAATGATGTACAGCCTGAAGTATCTCACTGAATCACGCTATTGAGAAGCTCTGGAGTAGTATGCTTATCACAGAACTTGTCTTTAGTCTTTTATTAGCATGTCAGCTGTGGGAACTTCTGGGGAGATTAATGAGTCTGATTTGTCCCATGATATCCATAGTCACAGGATTCAAAAATGTAGCTGCCCCGTGTCTCTATATCCACTGCAGGGTGACTTTAGTGCTCCATCATGTCAATCTGATTTTGCCTCCAGGTCCCGGTAGAATCTAAATATGTTCACTGCCCCTGTTAATGGTCATGAGTAGTGATGTCCTATGTAACAAAACTACTAGCTGAATATTTGCCTTGGACATGTGCTTGTAGCATTTTAATTAGATCACCATTGTTAAGGTCACACACTGCACTTAGGCAGGCTATTGTTGTGTAGTTATAAAGCTGCATCTTACGGGTTGCTAGGGGAGGAATGACACAGGCAATTATCACAGGGTCCATGGCAAAGAACATCAGGTAGAGTAACTTAATTAAGGTTGTGTAATGTGTCTGAAACTGGAAAACATCAGCAAGATATAACCCCCCTGGGAAGCTTTGACTTCAAGTGTAAGTGCTGGGTCAAATGCAGGCTTGTTGAAATTGAGACAATATTTCTTCTGTAATACTTGTCCTAAACAGAGGAGAGTGTTTCATTTTTTACTTCCAGTTCTAAATGCAATACCATGTAAAAGTATCAGAAAACACACAAAAATAATTTCAGTATTGAAATTGCAATTCTGAAAGGCTGGCCAGGGATAAAACATAACTTTAAAGGTCTTGATTTTCTTATATTGAAATGAGTCCTGTTGCTTCTTGAAGGACATTAGGGACATGTACCATCTCTATAGCACCACATAAGGATTCTGATGCCAGGAGGCTCTGGAGGAACTTTGGACTTGTTTTTTTAAAAAGACCACATGTTTTAATTGATGTTGTTTCAGGCATTAAAATTGGTGAATGATGCGTTTGTTGGTCCTGGTAAAAAGCCATCCTTTTAAATTACTGATTCAGCAGACTAGCCACAGAATTAAGAACAAAATTTTCACAAAGCAAATATGTCTAGGAATCAGAAAGGAAGAATAGCATTACTAATCTGTAATCCCCAACCATTTCATTCTTATCTGCAAGGAAAATATATTTAATAACATTGTTTGTTCTGTTTCAAAATGTCAACTTTATAACAGCAGGGCACAATCTAAAGCTCCATATTTTCATGTTCCTGCTCCTCCCTACTTTATGGTAGTAAATTTGATCCAGTTTTTGATAATAGACAGCATTGCAAATGGAAAGGATTATAATTAGGACATACCCATTATACTTTACAGGTTTTATTACTGTCCCAGAGGCTTGCAAATAATTGAGTGGGAATTATAGACTATAGGGCTTGTGCAATACTGGTGTTCTTTTAGTACATGCTGTCCAGGAAATAATTGAAAGTGAAAACCAGGTTGCTTCAGAGCAATTTCAGTTCTATCTCCTTTTTATTGTGAGAAAGCCAGGCTAAATTCTTTTCCCACCTGGAACAGCCAATACCCAGGCTGATTGCTGCTTTCCCAGGCTGATTACTTATCACAGATTTTTTTTAATTTTTATTTTTTATTTTTTTTATTTTATTTTTTTGTGCTCACTAAAGATCTCAGGATGTCTCAGTTTCTCAGGTACCCAGCTGAGATTCAAAGATGCCAGCTACACTCCTCAAGGATGCTCTCTGGGGTGCCAGGCTCTGAGATCCGAGGCTGGCAGGTATCTTTCTCTGTCAGTATTTTAGTGAATGTCTTATTCTGTCAACATTTTTCCTTTATGGCTGCTCTCCTCACACATCCCTCTGCAGAGGCTTAGAGGGGTGTTTGGGCATCTTACAATAGCTCTATGAACACTCAAGGTGGCCAGAGACAGTGCAGGGCTTTGCTGTGTATGGGCTTTTAGAGTCTTCTCCAGGTCCACTGTGACCAGTTAGGCTGCTAGATCAGTGTTCACTTGTTGTGAAGCCAGACTGACACCTGGGGGTCCAGAGGATCTCTCTCTCCTCCCCCCCCATTCCTGTTTATTCCACCTTACCCACACACAATCCCATGCTTCCCATGATGGCCCTTCTCACCTGCCATCACCAGGTCTCCCCAGTGCTTCCTGTCTGTCACTGCTGTCACAGGAGCCCTTTGGGCAGGGAGCTTTGCTTCTGGGCTGCCATTTAAGAAATCTGTCTCCTGTGAAGCCAGACACTGGAAATTAATTTGGATCAACAACAAAGCTAGTCACCCATTCCTTGATGTACCTAAGTTACACTACAATAGGTATTTTCATTTAAGTAGGGTAGTTTTTAGGCATTTCTGTATGGGGAGAGGAAGGAGGAATTCTCCTTTCTCAGTGAAAACATCTTTGACCCATGAATGCAATTACAGGTTATCTGAAAGGATACACCTCTTGATAGACTGATTTCTACTTGCATCATCTGTAAAAGGCTCTGCTTGATTTCTGCAGCTTCATGATAGTCCAGAACCTCATTATGACTGCTAACCCAACAACCTGTAGCACTGATCTCTAGATCCTGCATTATTCTCTATTTCTATCTGTTCTGAAATATAAAGCTGGGTGATTGCTGGTGACTTTCAGTTGAGGTGAGTCGCCTTTGAGCGGGTCATGTAACAGCATGACCTCCAACTCCCCAAACCTAGGCTATAGTACACTCATGCTAACCTGATCAAAAGGCAAAAGAAAACCCCAGAATAAAGCTAGAACAAGTAGCCAGAAAAGCAGGTTTTGAAGTTTTTGAACTAACTAGTGCCACATCAAATTCATTCTGAGTCTAGATTGAACCAAGAATTCCTAGCTGTATCCCCCTCATACTGCCACCCTGAAATGCTATCTGATAAGAGGCTCTGTAACACATACCAGACATTTTTTAGAATAGGACATCTTGGGATTTCTAGGAAAATTGCTGGCTTTGTATACTCTGAAGTGTTTCTTTACTGGGTTAGTTTTCTAGAGTGTGTTTCCACCCTCCCCTTGCACCCCATCTTAGTCTTTGTAATATCTTTTCCACCTTACATGTTTCCCAATTGAGAGTCAACAGGGAAAAAAAACAAAAACAAACAAACACACCTGAAGCAGCTTGGGCTATGTTGCTCTTTGAAACTGATTCCTATGTACACAACTGAGGATGTTATGCATAAGACATAAGTCAGTAGTCTATTGTGCTAGGGAACAGCAAGAGGAGAGGTGTTTTTGAAGAGAACATGAGCCACAAGCCAGGCAGGTGAAAGGGACACAGAAATTGGACAACAAGGACCTTACTGTCCAGGTCCCAGTGCAACAGTACCTGAGTGAAGGAGCACAGCAGAACCACAGATCGTGGCCAGTCCAGCCAAGAGTCCACAGGATTTGGCAATACTAACGTGATGAGGCAGATCCAAGATCAAGCTGAAAAATCATTCCAAATGTAAGGTTTAAGATGAACGAGCAAACACCCTTGGCTGAGCTTAAATAGAGCTCCTGGATGCACAGCTGTGGGGAGGGGGCTCCAGTGAGGGTGGTCAGGGCCATTAAGGGTTATGAGAGCCTTCAGGGCCTTGACAGTGTGTTCCTTTCAGAGCTTTGCCACTCACTCCTGTTAGTTCACAGACTACTTGTTTCATTTCTGTTTGGGACTGTGCTGTCCTCGCTTTTGTTACCTCATCTAGTGTGATTGCAAACACTTAAAATAGGAAGTCTTGTTCCTTCCATGCCTGCGCAGAAACAAGTGTAGGAGGGCCTTTGTCTTGCCTGAGTCTTTTGATAATAAAGCGTGTAGTATCTGTAGACAAGTGTGCTCCTGGCAGGATTCCCACAAAAACATACACTTTTGCAACAGGAAAAGAGGATGCTGACAAACTGCTGTACGCCTCGGTGGATGTGACAGAATTTGACTTTCAGAGCACAAGCAATTGCTGAGGCATCTTTTCTCATCAAATGCTTCTCCTCTGATCACTACAGCATTGGCATTCGGAGGTTGTGAGTAGGCAGCAAAATGTACAGCCACTGTTTATTTATAATTCTGTCTTTTGTAATCGAGAACTAGATTGTAAGTAGATGTGTGCTGCTCTCCTCAGAGGGGTCCTGTGAGTCTACGTGAGCTGCTTCGCTGCAACCCCAGGCAGGGACTGCAACCCCAGGCAGCCACGCTGAACACGGATGTCTGTTAAAGTCAAAGGGGGGGTTACAGGTGGGGAAATTGGCGTTTGCTCATGTGATGGAGTTGCCTGGAGTATTTATGTCATTGATATGCCTATGTGGAGGTTTTTCACCGGTGGGGCTGTCAGGATGTAGAAGGGAAAGCAGGAGGGATTTCAGGGGCAGTGTGAAAACCACTGACTTAGGGTATTTCTCCTCCAGTGCTGGCAGCTTTGGGCAGCAATTCTGAGTTTGTGAGTGGGGCAAAAAATAATCTGAGGTGAATGTAAAGACTCCCAAGAGGAGCAGTGAAGTATAGAGGAGAAAATCGGAGACCCAGAGTCCTAGAGGCTACAGCTTGGGGTCAGACTGAGCCTGCCTGACAGCGCCAGTAGGAGCAGCGTGTGTGCAGCTCCTCGGCTGTTGTGAAATCCTTTCACTCAGCGCTTGGCACTGTTAGAGCCAGCACTCCTCGAAGAGAAGAAGCTGTGTGGAAGCACCATGGAGGCACCTGCCGGGAGCGACCCACCCCTGTGAAACCAGGACCAGGGGGCAGCCAAGGAGCTCCAGCCTGCCCGAGGACAGACCCGTGGACAAGCAAGGGGGCTGCAGCAGGCAGGAGGGCTGCGTGCCGCCACCCGGGAGCTGATCGGTGAGCGAGGGCTGCAGGATCCCTGCAGCAGCTCAGCCGCCCACCCGTGAGACACGCCAGGCCCTCTCTCCGGCCCAGAGCCCCCTCAGCACCGAGGCCCGGGTGAGTACTGCTGCTTCCCCACCCGCCTCTGCCGCACCTCCTGGCCACCCGTGACGGGCAACGAGCACGGTGACGGGCAACGATCACAGCGTGCGGTGGCGTTTCCACCCACCTCAGCTCTGCAGAGGCATCGGGCTGAGCCTGCCAGGTGAGAGCAGCCCCACGAGGAGGCCGGGGGGGTCTTGGCAGAGGCACCAGCCCAGTCTGGCTGTGGTTTGCGAGCAGCACAGCCTGGGCACCCAGCACTGGCTTGGGCTGAATCCACCGAGTGGTTTGCGTCCTCCTCTCCAGGTAGGGTGAGTTCCTCTGCTCCCCAGCCCTGTCTCGGCCAGTGATGGACCCACGGAGGATGTGAGATGCTTTGTAGGGAATGAACAGGGGATGCTCTCTTTTTGTCTCTTCGCTTACAGGTGAAGACTGCTCAGACCTTTGAGGTGTAATGTTTTGAGTTCTCTGTTAAATTGCTTACTGTCGTGCTGAATTAATTACCTGTCTGGCTTTTCTTGAGTCCTGTTTATATGTGGCCTTGAGAGTTTCCTATTCCAGCAGCCAATAAAGGGCACTGCGTGGAAACAGTAAGATCTCAATGTTTGCTGCATTGTGCACTGCCTATTAAATTTTGCACATGCGATGGGAGAAGTTCCTGTGTTTTCACTCTAGTTCATTTGCTGCATTATAAACTTTAACCTCCAGGTCATCAGCTCTTTATTTGGTAAACCTGTTGTGCTGCTGCATTCAATCTTCGTACTGTGTTTTCCTGTGCTTTAGGCATTCACCCTATCCTTTTTCAGAGGTCATTTTTTAAGTCTGGGATGGCCTTTTTGAAATGCGGTGAATGATACTGCATGTTGTGTGGGAGGCTGTTGTGTGTGCTAGCAATATTTCCAGTAATCTTCATTTTCACCTACATAACAAAACAGTTTAGTTTTATTGCATGCTTTGGTTGAGCCATAGGTATTAACATACAGGTCCCTCTTCAGAGATGAGTTGATTTGGTACCTTGATGTGCAAGTTGCTTAAATTCTCTTCTGCAGTACTGATTTATGTGTTATAAACTTTATTAACAGCATAGTGCTGTCATCAAGCCAAAGCACCATGCAGCAATACTTCTATAAAACTTAGTAAAATACTATATTGATAAGGCAAAGATTGGAATCCAAGGGAAAAAAATCTTGTTTCACCTGAGACAGGAGTCTCCTGTGCTGTGGTGTTCTGCCTCTGCTATAGCAAGGTACAATTTAACAGGCTTCATCAGGAACCTGAGCAGGCTTTTTTTGAAAAACCTTTGTGTGGTGCCTGGGCAATACAGCCCTAAACTCATTCCTTCTCTCCCAGCGGAGATCTCTGTAGGCTCAAACTACACCAAGCTGTGACCTGGCACTGTTGTGGTCCACATGTGGGATCTGTAAACAGACATTGCTCCAAGATTGCTTCTGGCATGCAGTGGGTTAATGGTTGTTGAATACTGGACCACTAAAAGCAGTGTGCTAGTTTTTTTTATTTCTTTTCCATATATGTGTGGATTGAATACACTCTGACCTGAGCAGCAGATACTGCTTCCTTGCTTCTCTTAAAACAATAGAAGATATGCCAAAGCTTGTGTCCAGGGAAGAAGGCAGGTCACTTTGTAAACCCACTGAATGCTGCTGATTGCAACAAGGGCTGGGAGAACAAGTGTTCCAACAGGAATCCAGGCTCTTTTTTCCTGGTCACTTTTCCTGAGTAGATGACAGAGAGGAACAGTTTTTCATGAAAGCTGATCATTCCTTGACAGCAGTAGCTGCTGTGACACTAACAAGCCTGAGCCAGCTTTTAATGTTTAAGAGCTCCAGAACCAGTGCCAGCTGCCTGCTCTTGGTGGGAGTACATCAGGTCAAACTGTGTTCAGCCCTCAATTTGTTATCAAAGGACAGCAACGTTGTTGAAACTTTTGGAGTGGGTCCTGGGTGAGGAAGGACTGATTAAGGTAGAACCCTTTTTTCTGGGAAAGAATTCAGACACACATTAAGGCAGAAAGGTAGGACAAAAATTTGCAAAATACCATAGAAAAGATTAGGAGAGAGATTTTTTTTTTCTGAAACTGGCTCCTCCTAACTTTGATTTGTACCTGGTTTTGTGCTGGAAAGACAAACAGGAGGAAGTTCTTCAGGCAAGCAACAGACCTATGCAATTCCTTGCCACAGTCTCTGCAGATATGAGGTTTACAGGGGTTAGGGGGGAAACAGGACAAGTACAAGGAACAGAGATCTATTGAGGATTAAAAATGCCTATTGGCCTCAGTAATCTGAAATTTGGAACACCATTTCAATCAAGTAGGCTCTACAGTTGTCCTGTTGATACTCTTTCATGGTGATCTCCTTATGGCCATAGTTGGAGACAGTTTATGAGCCTGCCAGATCCTTGTTTCCTGGTCAGTATGCCTGTTTTTTTAAAATGTTATTTGCCCATATCTTTACTAAATCACACGTTATTTCAGACAGACAGATATATACCCACTCGTTGAGTTTGTATGATCAATAGCTATTCCTCAATGGGAAAATTAAAGAACCTTTCTTTTTTCCATTTAGCATATTTCTTGATTTAACAATAGAACATGAACTTTTCTTCTTGATTGTTTTGCTTTTCTTAATTTTTTTTTCTTTATTAGGCTGATAGGAGCTTATATATTTCTTCAACAAACAAAAAGTTACAGCCACTTTTGCTTTGTATCTACCAACCCACCACTACTTCTTTGCCCTGTCCTTCTCTGGCTTTCAGGACTGGGAAGGATGAAAGCCATCAGCTACAGTGTTTACTGCAGTCTACCTCAAATCTAGCTGCCAGATAAATAATTACCTGCCCTTTAACAAAAATATTTTACTTCTGGCTGTGTAACTAAGTAATATTGCAAATGTGTTTGTGCACCTAGGTCTCTGGACAAAATGGGGAACTTGTCAATGAAACCCAAGCACCTGAGACAGCCAGATAGACACGTAGCAAACCTCTCTATTGGTTGTGCTGGCAACTATAAGTTTCTGAAGGACCCAGGTCTAGGCATCCATGTGACTGGGCAAGCTGATGTTCTTTGCAGCAGGGTGGTTGAACTGGAAAAGGAGCTGAAAAGAAAAGATGAAGAGTTACAAGAAGGTCAAAGTCTTGTTGCTGAGCTTCAGGAGCAGCTGGCTATGCAGACTAAGGTCATAGCAGAACTCACCAAGGAACTTCAGAGCAAGTGTATACAGCTGAACAAGCTGCAGGATGTTATTAATACTCAAGGAGAACACTCTCTTCAGCCTTCTCCATTTAGAGCAACTCCAAAGAATCAAGTCTCTGCTGACAGGAGGAAAGGAGCTAAGGAAGGTGTATCTGCAGAGCCAACAACACAGCTGTATGATTTGAGCAAGCAAGCTAAGTTTTCCTTTGAAAAATCAAGAGTCCAAAAGGATTTCAGGTAAGCTTATTGCAGAGGGGTTGTATGTTTGTGTTACAGGAATACAGCTGCGATCCCAATGATACTGTCTTTGTGAAAAATTACAATTTGAGTACCCAAATTTTTTTTGCATAGGTTTTGTCACTATGGTAGTTAGATGCTCGCTGGATTTCCATTTAGCTTTCAACCAAGAATCATCTGCATCCCCCTAACTTCAGATCAAGTGGTGGGTGGCATCTGCATCTTCACTTTTAGCCCCTTCAGTGTTTGTCTTTACCATCAGCTAAGCAGAACCCAAGTCTCAGGTCTGGGTTTGCCTACTGCTTAAAGTTTAAGCTGTTCTCTGCAGTACTGATGGGCAGAAGGCTGGATGTCTTCACATTGGGGCAGATTCTTAGTCCTGCCTTATGGATGGCTTAGGAAGGAGCAGGTGGCCTCAGTTCAAGTGCAGCATAGACACCAGTTCTCAGCTGTGTACTAGCTTTGTCAGCCCAGGGTCAACTCACTCTTGCAAACGATAAGAATTGTTTTTTACAGCATAATTAACCTGTTAGTAGCTTCCTCCTCTTCTCCCAGATTCAGTCCTTGTTAAGGAACCCATTTTAATTTTTTCTGCTTTGAATCATTACACTTCTAGCCTCTACAGAAGACAGAAGGAGCAGCAGTTACAGCTCACCTTGTGGACAATTTTCAGACTAGTATTCTTACCCATACTGTAGACCCTCTTTTACCTTATGGTTATCTGATTTAATATCATGATAGCCAGCAAATATGTGGACTTCAGCCAGCAAACAAAGTGTTTCCGCTTTGTGGGGAGCTTTATTATTTTGGGGAGTCCATGACACATTTGAACCTGTACCGCAGTAGAACTAGGAGTTATCAGGCTCAATGTAGTTGTCATCCATCCTGTGTTATATCCTCAAAGCTATCTTTCGAGCCTGAAAGGCTGCCTGAATCACCCTGAGGAGCTGAAAGCTTCAGCAAGCAGTGTTTTTCTGTGTATGGGAACTAAGGGAACTGTAATTACAACTTGTGATAAAATGTTACTACCTATCTTCTTGGCATAACCCTTGTGCTGAAGTCCACCAGATTGTTTTCTAGGCTGCTTTCAGAAGCAGAATTGTAATAACACTGCAGAGTGAAGCACAGGACAGGGTGATTTACCAAGTGCATCACAGACTTCACCACTCAGTACAAAAGCAAGTATTGCAGCTTATGCAGTCTAAACATAATGCTGATCATACAATAGATTAGAGAGCCAGGAATTTTCTGTCTTGATTCAGTGGCCAAGCAGTTCTAACACTGCCATTTTTCTTGAATGCCATCTTCATTTTCTTGTCTTCCTAAACAATGGCATGAAACAGAAAGGATAAAGGAGAACTGGCCATTTCATTTTCCCTCCCTTTTATCTTTAACAGTCTGGTTCAAAATAGTTATGGTAGGGCTCCCATAGATCCATAACAATTTAGAATACATCATTCCTGTATTGATTTGATCTTGACTTTAATGGAAACAACTCTTTTAGTATTCACTGCAAAAGCACTAAGAACAGACCACCCTATTCTCCTCCCCACCATTTCCAGCTTTTGTGTTATTCTTTTCACCTTATTTCCTTCTGTTCAATGCTATCCATGTTTCCTTCATTTGCACCTCATTTTTTATTTTAATGGCCATCACAGAAGATGAGAATTCAGCTTTCATTTGTCTGCTAACTACTGTCCTGAGTATAAGTAATTTTATAGTGAAGTTGAACTCATCATTTGTTTCATTACACACTGCTAGTAAGTGCATCAACTCTGCCAGAGTAATTAGCATGAGAGAATTAGCTATGTTGCTCCCTAAGCTGAAGTGAGAAAAAGTAAATAAATAAATAAATAAATAAATTTGGAAATGCAACCAAAACTTCAGCTTTTAACACTAAATATTGCTGGAACATTTGTTGTAGCAGACTCAAGAGCTCACATGAACTTATTTCTTGGCAGGATTATGAATGAAGAAAAGTATATCATAGAATCTTAGAGTATCTTTATTAAATCAGAAGAGCTAGAATTAGGAAAAATGATTTCTAGGGTATCCTCAGTATTCGATAGATCATGCCAGAGATTAAATTACCTTTTCTTACATTATTAAACTCAAACTCAACTTCATATTTTACCCATTGTTCTTAAATTACCAAGTAATCTTCCATAATTAACCATTTTCTAGATATATTTTTGGTAGGATATAAAATGGCAATATATCCAAGTTTTATTTGTAGATCTAGAGACATAGCTCAATAGTTACTAAGACAATTAAAAAGCTGATTATGGACTCTTAATAGCATTACAGCAACAAAAGTTATTTTTTTTAAGTGGTGCTTTGTAGTAGTTTTTTTTTTTTTTTTTTTTTAAAAGTCTGGAAAGTAAAGTAGAGGCATGTCAGAATAGTTCTGGTTTTATATACACTTGCAACTGTCTCCAAGAGTTCATGACTTTCTGGCTGAGGCTCTGAAACTTTAGCCTGCATTATGGGCAGAATTCTGTTATGCAGTTGAAGTGACTCTGTTCAAATATCTTGGGCTTTGAAAGGCAAGAAACTTAGACTAAAACCACCAAGAACTGGTGCCTTGAATTAATATAGGTGCAGTACACTATCAAAAACTCATTTCCTGTGGAATAATGCTCATTTGCAAGTTGGCATATTTTTTTTCTGTTGCAGTCATAATTTGTTGGATATATGTCCTTTGGACAACTTTTAGACTCAGAATGTTTAGTACCTTTATCAAAAGGCTATTTTATAAACTCACATACATGATACGCACCAAGGGAACAAATCAGACTTTACTCAGTGAATCAAGTAATGGGTGAAGACTTCACTAAGACTTCTGGGATGAGGTCTGTCTTCTGATGCAGTAGTGACCAAGCTATCTTTTGATCTTCCAAATGCTTCAGAAGTGAGGAAATAACACCAGAAGTGCTAGAGGCGTAGTAGTGCTGTGTCCACCACCTAGGTAAGCCTGTGATACACATGCACTTGTTGAAGTCATCCCCTTGCAACTGAGATAAAATGCGTAGAGGTTCAAGCGTTTGGTTTCCTTACACAGGTTGTAAACACTTCAGGTAGGTCTAATTCAAACAGTTGGCATTCATAAAAGGACAAAGTCTAACCTTGACTGTCTACAGAGTTCTGTCCATCGTGTTTTAAAAAAAATGTTTCTTTATCTTAGCAGTGGCAATAGGAGCTTTTAGAGTTGTTAGTGTAAGCAGCTGCTTCCCCTTTATAGAGTAAGGATTTAATGGAGCCCTGAGGGGAGAATAAAAACCTATCTCACATTTAACAGTTATGTCTCCTACCAGTCAATACCAACAGAAATCCAAGATCTCTCATCACTAGGACAAAGTTAGATTGAGGGAAATCAGTGCTTCCTGAAATATGTCATGCCCTTAACCTGTGGGATGACAGGTATCTCCTCGTGGGAGGGAATTCACTACTGTTCACGGAAAGATGTTTTTGAACTGTCAAATGGTATTTATGGGAGTGTGAGTGTTTTGACAAGGGCCGCAAGGAACATCGGTAAAATAGCTAACAGCAGGGAAGGGAACCAAGCCTGGACAGGAGCTCTATAGCAAAGCTCAAGCAGCATAGTAAAGGAAAGTCCTGCTAGTGGTGGGACCCAGAAATATCTCAGGAACACCAGAACAGTTGTGTGGAGCTGTGCATCCCCTTTTTAGCCTCTAGAAAGAACAGTGCAGTAACTGGTACAAATGCAATATCAAGTGTCACCTGTCCTTTCAGGACAAGTAATTATTTCCAGCAGGTCTTGAAGCTAAGGTAGGTGTAGGGGAAGCAGAGAAAAACAAAACAATATGTACTGTGCTAGATGCCTATGAAATGAGCAGGCAACTGACTGAAGAGCTTGAGGCATGATTATGATACTTCTAGGTCCTTTGCTTAGTAGCCCACTGCACTTCCTGAACCAGCAGCATCAGAAGGTTCAGTATTTCTGCAAGCTTTAGTGCTTGCTCTTAAGTATCAGTTTATAAGCCATTACTGTATTTTATTGCAGTATAATGTGCATGATGCAGGCCAGGATAAATTAAATAAGCAAGGTCATTTTCAGCAGAAAATCAAGTTAGAGACTATATTCTAATAATGCTGTTGCTTTCAGGAAAAGCTAAATTATTATCTCTATTTCTAAACACAATCTTAACCATTACTGCTTGATTTTATTTTCTTGCCTCTTGTCATTACCATTACTGATTTTCAGACATTAGATGCCTAGTAACATGTTAAGTCTACCTCTGTTCATTCCTGATTTCCCTCAGGAAACTTTCCCACATTACCTGTGTTTGATGAAAGCTTTGCCTTGTTTTACAAATAGAAGCAAGAGGAAGCCTTAGATGTTCCAGAAAGCTGTGAAGGTGTTAATTTTGTTAGGCAGTTTGCCTACACCATCATAATAGGAACAAGGGGACTTGAAAGCAGAATGTAACTTTCACTGCAGCAGTAAGAAAAATCACTCAGTAATTCCATAAAAGATTTATCAATGCAGCGTTTGTTTAAATGCATTCATTTCTGGCATGCATTCAAAGCACTACAAGGCTTTTTACAGGAAGCCCTTGACCTAGAGCATGTGTCAGTCAATCAGACTTCACAGGCTTCCCAATGTGTACACAGAGCCAGCTTTATCTCAGTTGATCGCTCATTGTTAGTCAGTTCAGCCAGCTTTGATTTTTCCACATTCTCTCCTTCTTAAAATCCAGCGGCTGAGATCTTCTATCAGCTGGAAAAATACACTGATCTTGTTTTTAAAACATCCTTTTCTATATCAACATTTCCCACTCCAGGAGACAGTGCAGAGACAGCATCGCAGGGAGCAGTAAGAACATGGCTGGTCCCCAGGGAAAAGCAAGCCAGGAGCCTCAGATGACCACACAGCACCCTCCCTGACCAGGATACTGTCCCACAAGGGCCAGACAGGTTAGACAGAGCAGGGTGGTGATGACAGCACCCAGCATAAATCTCATCCAAGAATCAATCAGTCCAAGTGCAAGCTCTAGCCGGGAAACATAAGCAAAGTACTAACAGTGTGGTGCCAAAATCCCTCTAAAAGACAAAAATAAATCCCTATAACATAGCTCAAATAAAACCAGACTTCCCAGACCTGAGTGTAAATAGGGTCTGCATGCCAATGGAGCAGAGGGTGTGTGGATGGAGGTCCCAGGTGAGGATGATCAGGGTGGTGACGGCCTGTTACTGCCAGTGGGGTCCTCACAGGCTGCTCCTTGATCTCCGGTGTGCCTGCTTTACATGCCTTTTGTCTGGCTTTTGTGAATACCCCAAAGCTTTTCCAAAGACATTTCAATGAAACCACCCTGTATAGTTGTACTTCACAAGGGGCATGCTTAGGGAAGACTTCTCCCCTGTCTGCTCCTTCTTAAGGAGACAGGGCCAGTTTGTCATCCCAAATGGGCAGACCGCTACCGCGCTTTTGCACAGGTAGGAGCATTTATGCTGTTTTTTTTTGTCATCCACACAGAGAAAGTGGATACAGCAGAGGTAGGCAGAGTTTTGTGTGTAGGAAGATAGAGGACAAAGAGCAGTGCTGAAGGGAGCTGCGTTAATCCCAGCCCTCACCCCTGCCCACCCCTTACACCCTCTATCCTGGGCTTATTGTGCAAATGTGGGGACAATGTTCAGCAGGTACTCTGCTAGCTGACCTTCCCATGGTGTCCCACTCATGACTTAGTTTAGTAGCTATGACAAGGGAATGCCATGGGATCAATGGCCTTTTGCAGGTTCAGGGCAAGTTCTCAGTTGTTTAATCACAATCATTTACAGCTTGCTTCATTTTTCCCACCACCAATGTCTTTTAACATGTTCCTAAGAACCAGCAGTGCCATGTTAGTCATGCTTTGGCATACTTTTTTTCCTTGCTGCTTACCCCACTACAAAGAAGAAACTCTTCATACCATCGGTGTTGAATTTAACTCTGTTACTATCATTGGTGTTTTGTTTCTGCTGGCTATTAAGAAAAAAATAGACAGGAATGTTAGAGAAATGGACCTGATTTTATAACAGATTGCCATTTCTGTACAGGCAGAGGAATGTGAAGACAGACCTTTCCCATTTCATTCCTTCACATAAGCAAGGCTGTGTATTTTGGTCACGCATTGCAGAAAGCATGGTGAGAAACAGTGCGAAACATCTGGGGAGTGTTCCTTCTGCTTGGAGGCTTTTCACATCTAACACGATGCTTTCTTTGATGGGATCGTGCAGGAGGAGAGAGGCCGTGGTGTGGCACTGCTTCTGGGATGCATGTTAGTTGCAAGGATTGTAATATACATCTGTGATACTGGTCATGCTGTCAGTGTTAGAAATTAGATGAAGCATGTTGAGAGGAATGAATGCCTGGTCAATAATATATCCCAGCAGTGCTTGATCTTTGAAACTTTGCTTTTTGATTGAAACCAGTGAGAAGAAGCTCATCACAGACGCCCTGAATAAAAATCAGTTCTTGAAGAGACTGGAGCCTCAGCAAATCCGAGATATGGTGGAATGTATGTATGAAAGGACTTTCCAGCAGGGGAGTTATGTCACCAGACAGGGAGAGCCAGGCAATCACATTTTTGTGCTCAAAGGTGAGTACTGCTTGCCTGTACAATGCGTAAGTGCTAAAACCAAGAAAATAATTTCTAAGTCTTTGCGAGAGACAGGAATGTTGATATCTGCATTCCTAAATCACTCATGCTGGCCCCACTGAGGGCAATGCAAGTTTTATCTGTGAATTAGTGAGAGCAACAAAAAATACCCTAGAAACGTGAACCTTGATTTAATGCTATTTCCTGGTAAAATAAATTGAAGTGCTTCTTCCAGCTCTGAAACTTAGAGGCCAGGAGAGGCTGGTTTATACCTGTGTTTCAAGGCACTGTTTGCATCCTTGCTGCTCCCATTTCTGTGCTTGAGGGAGTGGTGAAGCCAGAAATGCATTGATTTACTTTCCCTCCTCTCTGTGGAACAGAGCTCAGATTTAATGCATATTATCCTGCTGATTTTTGACAGAGGGCAGACTGGAAGTCTTTCAGCAGAATAAACTCCTCTCCTCAATACCTGTGTGGACAGCATTTGGTGAACTAGCCATTTTATACAACTGCACACGGACAGCTTCTGTGAAAGGTATACAAAGTGTATTATAACAATATGGTGTGGACTATTGTGAGGTTCCTGATATATCCAGTTTATCTTTGAATAGAGTATGTAGGAATTAGTTGCTGTTGTACTTTTTTGTTTCCATATCATTAAGTTATTGAGTCTCACCAAGATCCCTTTACATGTTGCATTTGTGACTGGCATTAAGGAGAATTATCCCTTAAATATCCCTAGATTCCTTTTCTAGTCTGCCATATTATTCTGTGACAGACCAGTAAGTGACCAAATAGGGTTTTCATTCCTCATCCCCATTTTTCCAGTCTCCACCATTCTGTGAAAATAACTCGTGTTTGGAGGCTCACTTCTGGCCTTGTCTCAGTCGAGGAACCTTGAACCACCAGTAAGTATGAAGAGTTCATGCTTACTTAAAAGGGAGCAAATGGAATAAAACAAAAGTTGTTTGCTTTAAAAGCTCATGGTCTTTCTTCCTGCACCCAATTTAAGTACTTAAACATTGCTGGCTATGTAGATGGAGTAAGCTCTTTTTCTCTCTCTCTTTTTTTTTTTTTTTTTTTTTGTGGCTGCCTGATAAATAGAACAGCATCACTAATGTGATTAGTTTTTGTCCTAGCATTTGAATCTGTTCCCTATTTTTCTTTTTTGCATGCTGTACAGTATTACCATTGTAAAGTGATGTTTCAGCATAGTAAGATGTCATGCTGTTTTGGATCTTGATTAGCGTGAATTGTTTCTGAGGTAGGACAAGGTCTCTCCAATTGTTGACAAGAAAGGGTATTTGTATACTTAAAATCCCTCCAGAAATCCACACCTCCCCACTAGCTTTCCTGCGTTTCCTTGTGCTGAAGGAGGAACACTGCAATGCCAAAACTGAGCACAGCTAGCAAATACGTAGGCGAAAACTCTGATGCGGATGCTGGATCTAGTCAACCCCCTTACCTGCAATGTTTGAAAAATGACAAGCGAAGGAGTTTAGCCAGACAGCATTTTAATGGCCATGGTTACCCAGCAGCATCTTTATATGCATTAGCTGTATTTGAAACTGAGAACAAGATTTACTGCTGTGTTTCTTTCTAGATTCCTCTTTTTCTGTCTCATCTTTGGAATTGCAGGTTTTTGTTTGTTTGTTTATTTTCTAGCTATGTAATTGGTTTATTTAGTTAAGGTACAAGATACAGGAGATGGAAAGCTTTAATACTTGTCGTATTTTCTTCATGGAAAGTAAACTGAAAGATGTTGTTTAGGAGAAAAACAAAACCAAAACAAAACCTTTGCTTTCCCTTCCAGCATCCAGAAACATTTTTTGAGCTCTTTTAATAAATGCCAGTTAAGAGTGTATGTGTACATCAGGATTAAGTACAATGACTGACAACTGACCTGTGCATCTTTTTAAACCTAGCATTGTTCTTTCCTGTAAAAATGGTTTTATGTTTCTGATAAATAGTCGAACTGGGGAAATCAGTTGTTATATTTTATTTTCCTATAGCTTTCTGCAGCATTTTTCCCAGAGAAAAGTTTTATTCCTTCAACTTACAGAAGGAAAACTACTGAGTACAATGTAGCACCTTGAGAGAGAGAAATAGAGAGAGAGTAGATTAAATAGAATCACCGTATTTTGCTGAAAGAAATAAAAAGTGCAGCGTGTTCTGTTGTGTCAGTGACTGCACACAGAGGCCGCTTAGTTGTTTGCATCTTTGATGCTGGGTCTTGTGCACACTTGCTGCATTAATATTTTTATTACCTTCCTAAATATAGTCAGTAAGCTGTAAGGTTTGTTTTGTTTGCTCTTCTTTCCCTTAGAAAATGGTTAAATTAGAGGAAAATATGTGTGAAAATCATAGGATTAAATGAAATCACATGAATTTCTTCACCTATGTTATTCCTATCTTCTTCCATATCTCACAAACATGGGCATGTAATCAATCTGAATTAGAGATGGATCTGAGCCGTAGCATTCAACATTTATGTCATACATTTATGTCACACATACTTTAGCCAAGTTTTCTTCCTTCAGATCATCTGTTTTACAAATTACATTGGAGTTTTCAAGTGCAAAGTCTATCCATGATTAGGAATATATTTTCATGGGCATTCAGCCCTGATTATGCCCATAGCAAATGGCTACTTGTTCAGGGTTACTCACTTGATGGGGCTGCTTTGAAAGCGCAAACTGAAGGAGCCATTTGGAAATCTAAGCCTTATTTTAGTGAGGGTTACTAATGTGGGAGCTGGATTCTTTTAAAAGTCTGATTTAAGGTGTTGCAGATTTAAAAATTTGTCCTTGGGCAATTTGTAAAGGCTAGTCTATTTTGTACCATGGCCTAATACTGTAATATCTGCCACCAGATCATAAGGAAACATTGCTGATTTGTTGTTGTTTTGTTTGGTTTTATTTTGTTTTCTTAAAGCAATCACCGATGTAAAAACATGGGCATTGGACAGAGAAGTGTTTCAAAACATCATGAGAGTGACAGCACAGACAAGGCAAGAACAGTACAGAAGCTTTCTTAGAAGGTAAACCTCATGCATTTGTGTTTCTAAGTACTGGTCTGAGCTACTTGGTAAGGTGCACAGTAGCATTGTGCGTGTTTCTTACAAAGGGACAAAAAGAGGTGCATTAAGAAATGCAAAGGGCCTTAATAACCTTAATATTTATGTCTTTCAATTTTTTTTAGGATTCACATAATTATTTTGTTTATTTTGACTGTCTTTATCTATTGCATTAGGAAACAGCAGTATCTGCTTGATGAAATGCATGCTTTTAAGTAATGGAACAAATGTATAGGCAGGTTACATGGCTAGAAGTTAAAAGGATGCATTCAATGAAGAGAGTTAATGAAATCGTCCTACTAGAAGTTCATTTGCTGCTGGAGTAGATTAAATAATATATTCTTCATCCCTTGGAGACTTGAATATGAGAACCATGTATCTTTATTTATGAACACTTTCCAATATAAATTACTACAAAATCTGCAGAGTGGTAAAGGAGAATAATACTCTCTCATACAGGGAATACTGAGGAATGTGCAGTTTTTTCCTTTAGAAGAAATAAAGTTAGAGGTTCCAAATCATAATTAGCTGATTTCATATTTTCTTTTCCTTTAAAAAGCATCGCCGTTCTGATACGGTTTCAAACTGAGATCTCAAGCCTGGCCCTGCATGTCTTTTTGCATCCATTGCTTGTCTCCATCTTTGATTTCCACCAGTATTTCTTTGTTGAGCCCAGTAGCTAGAGAGCTCCATGATTTCCAAACTTTTACCAGTCAGAGTGCTATGGAGGAGAGGTTTTTCCATGCTTAGCAGCAAGTTCACTAAGTCATCACAGTCGCTGAATTCTCTTCTAATAGTTACAAAAGTAATAGTGAAGTTTCTAACTTTGTCTGATTTCACAGTCTCCGCAATGCTTTTGAAAATACATTGCTGGAGTATTATAGTGTCTTGTTTTTGCAATGAATGGATTCTATATGACTTAATTTTGAATTTGGGCCATGTGCCTGCTAGAGCTTTTTCTACCTAACAAAATACAAAGGTGATTTACAAACTAAGCAATGTTTGCTACATTTCTATAATTGTGCAAGTTCTGCTTACCTAAAAAGCAAGATGTGAGAGTGTTTTGACCTTTTAAATATTTAGTGCATGTTTTATATGTTTTATATTATGTGTTTTGTATCACAACACCAGTTTAGCTAGTTATAAAGTGTGATTGTACAAATTATATAATGAGAAGAAATCATGGGGAAAAATGTTCGTCATGATTTTTTTTTTTTTTTTTTTTGGCTTTGCATTTCTGTTTTCTGGTAGTGTGTCTCTCCTAAAAAATTTACCTGAGGATAAACTAACCAAGATCATGGACTGCCTGGAGGTGGTAAGATACTGTTAAGTTTTCCTGAACAGTATTACTGGCATACAATGTGGATATGTAATATTTTCATTTGCCTTGGAATACATACACTGCAAAATGTAAGGGAGAACAGACCTGTCTGTCTTCCGGATGCATCTGACAACAGCATTTGGAGGTAAAATTTAGGTATATAGTCATGGCTGTGATGTTTTGAAAGAGTAGTGGTAGCTATTGATATTATTTGTATTGGGAAAGTCTTTAGGAACTCCGGTCTTGGAACAGTTCTACAAATGATTGGAGGAGAAGAAAAAATTAAGTGGATTTTTAACAAATCACAAAATTGAAAATTAGCATGGAAAAAGTTCTTGACTGAAAGTTAAAGAATTGGGCAGTGAAAATGGGATTCCTTAGAGAGACAGAAAAGCTGGTGGTTTAATCCAAGCTGGTGCTTGGAATAGATGATTCAGGCACTGCCACTGTGGTGACAAGCCCCAAATTACTTTGAAAATGGACTTGGATTTGGAACTCTTTTAAGAGCTTTTTATATTTTATCCTCATTTTTTCCCTGCTTTGTAGGGATGATACCAGTGCTAATATTTTTTATTACATAGTACTGCATTTAGATATGTTACAGCCACCAAGCTTTACACAGTGGAATGCTTGCATATTATTATGGGACACAACCTATGCTGGAGTTAGGAAGTTAAACATCAATGGAACATTGAGACATATTGACAGCTCTGCAAACAATGCAATTTATCAAAGAAGCTAATGTTAAATCAGGCAATGTTGTCTCTCTCTTTATCACCCAACAGGAGTACTATGACAAGGGAGATTATGTTATTCGGGAAGGAGAAGAAGGAAATACCTTCTTTATAATAGCAAAAGGAAAGGTAAGATGTAATAAAACAAACTTATAACAAATACAAACACTGCTATTTCAAAAGCTATCTTGGGGGGTGTGGTCTTTGGTAAAATCTGTTCAGTTGCTTTTATGTTCACAATGCTGTGATAAAACCTAGAGTTGTATTGCAGAGATGGGAACCTTATTTTCTTTGGCAATGAAGCCATGTTACGCTGTTACAACATAATTCAAGTTTGTTCTGAAGTTTCTCAACTCTGTAGCAAAGATATAATGTCATTTTTTTTGTAAATGAGATCTGATCTTCTTTCTTCTGCATGTTTCATTATCTGACAGGTTAAGTAGACCATTTTACAGTCCAAACACCAGTAGGAACCATGTTTTCCTTATTCGTTGTATTTATTTCCTGATTTCACAATCCAGGAAACTAATTTGAAACAGTAAAGTGCTACTTGAGGAACTAAAGAATATAATTTGCTTCTTCCAGTATTTTAAACTATATTGGTGCTCGAATATGTGGTATGATAAGATATTTATTTTTTTAAAAAAAAAAAACAACACACACAAATATAAAACTCTGATTATTTCATAAATTCTCAGGGATGATTTATTTGTAAAGGTACAAAATGTTAGTTAATATTTCTGCAGGCTGTTTAACTGAGAAGCCAAAAAGATAATATGATGTCTGCCCACTGTGCAAACCTGAAGTATTTTTCTTTTTTCATTGAAATTGCATTTATTTTGCTTTGTTTTAAAAGGTGTGATGAGAAAATGTTAGAGGATGAGAAATAATACATAAGTTTGGTTTTGCCATTTCATCAAAAATGTGGGAGGGGCTGCAGGATGTTTACTGGTTTTAATTTTTGAGAGAAAGTAGAATTTACATTTATTTGTTAAATACTGCAGCTTCACTGAGTTTTAAGCATTTATGAAATATACAGAAAGAAGGGGAGACCATGGAATGCTTTGACTCTTACCTTCCTAATTTTTTGTTCCTGTCCTTTCAAGGTGATAGTTACCCAGAGTACTGCAGATCACTCACAGCCTCAGCTGATCAAAAGTCTACATAAAGGAGATTACTTCGGAGAAAAGGCTCTCATTAGGTTAGTTCTCACTGTCTGGTGTATAGTATTTCAATGGATATGTCACTGTGTCAGATTGTACATTTCATGGCTGTTTTGAATATAATCAAAACCATTTGAATATCAAATGAATATAATCAAAACCATTTGAAATGCCAGCAGGTCGAGGCAATGGCTGAATTTATCTTAATGTTTTTTGTTTCCAGAAAAAACTTACACTGTCATTTACCTTTGTTTTTTCCTGGAAAAAAAATAAATAAATAATAAAATTGCTGGCCCTCTCTTCATTGTTGCTTTTTGTTTCTAAAAAGCTGTGATGAAATATTGTTCCAGGCTCTCTATGACTCCTAGCATGGGTAAGTTCAATTGTTAGGAGTACAGAGAGTATGTGACCTATGAGTCAATAGCTTCTTCCTAGTAAATGTTTTCAGGCTTTTATGAGCTGTCAGAAGGTCCTGGTTTATTATTTCTGGGCTCCAGATAATTTTTACCCATACTGCTGCATTACTTGATGTCAGCCCTGTTTTGAAAGAGTAAAGCTCTGGCTTCTGGGGATCTCTTCCTGATAGAATTTTTGTAGTGGATTTGCCTAGCAAAGTTGCTGTGGTCACTCATTTAATTTTAAACCCGTGTTGGATAGCACTTGCAATAAGTAAATTAAAAACTTCTAAACTTTGAAGAACTTTTTTGTGCTCATTATCTTGAGCATTCCCTTTCTTTAGTTTCTTTTTGCTGTGCTTTGTTGGCCTTTAGGAACTGCTCAGGGTATCTGGGGCAATCACGTCTCAGAGGTTACATTAAGACCTTGAAAGGTCTTTTTTTTTAGTAACCAACTGTATGAGTAAATTCACATAAGACATAAATATTTTATAGTAAGCTTTCTTCATTCCCTCTCACAACTGAAAATATGACAAGTATGAATAATGCGCAATAAACTCCCAAATACATTTGGATGTAAAACTGCCACTGGAAAGTTGGGCCAAGAGAAGAAAACTGCACCTATTTTTACAGTTCAAAATTGTTGTGTTGTTTCACGTGTAGGCACTCATGTGTTTGGGCAATAAGCAGTCACAATTTTCAGGCTGATGTAAAAGGAATTATGTCTTAAAAAGACATTTACAGAAATTAAAATATTTACATACAGGCTACGAAAAAACAACAACAAAAGATTGAGGAACTTAGAAAATACTCAAATAATTGAGTTTCTGGGCACCTTTGCATCCATTTCTATGAATATTTATGTGGATGATTGAGTGGAAAATGTTTGGTGTGTGGAATGTTTTATCTCTGAGGATCAGTTCTGAAATGCATAGTTAATCTGTTTGAATGCTATTTACATCTCCACCTAATATTCTGGGAGGTTTCTAAAGAGTCATGATTCAAACCATATTGAAGCGGGAATACAAACTGTGCTAGACAATAGTAAGGACCTGTAAAATGCTAGAATTGTGTGTATTTGGTTTGACAATATGAATACAAATACAACCTACAGAGGCCTTGAAGGAGTTTCACCTCTAGCAGCTGTTACCCTCTGTGAATAAGTACAGTGTAAGGTACTTCAAGGATTTTGATATGCTTCTGAATTCTTCTCATCTGTTTCAATTCTTAGTGATGACGTCAGATCAGCAAACGTTATTGCAGATGAATATGATGTGGAGTGCCTTGTTATAGATAGAGAGTAAGTATCATGCTGTGCTTTAAGGAATGATCTGCATTCTTCTTAGGCAGAACAACAGTAAGAAGTAACTTCAGCATGAGCACAACCACAGTGTTTTCTTAAGTGAGTACTGAACAAGTGGTTATACTTTTGGTATTATGAGCTGTGGTCATGCTTTAGACAGAGACCTAATGAAGAAAGGCTCAGAGGGTGCACAGAGGGAGCAGAGAAACTTAAGAGTAATTCAGTCATTCTTTTCTTTCTCTCCTCATGGTGGTGATATTTGACATTTAAGTAATATTCTTTGGCTCAGGGGACAGCAAAATCCCTCACATGTCCCTGTTTTGGGTATGTCCATTTGTCAAGGGGATCATGCAGCCCAATTTGCTGCTTTTGTCCAGTAGAGGCCAATTGCAGACTTCCTAAAGTCGAAAGTTGGAAGATATAAGGAAGAAGTTTCCCAGTGGAAAGCAAAACAGCACACTCACGTTTCTCAGGGCTAACTGCTTCAAGGATGCCTCCTTGGAACGTGGACAGCCACCCTCCTCTTCCTTGCTGAATCCCCAAAAGGGTCCTGCTGAGGGCTAAGATTCTGTCCCAACCCAGGAATTGACGTCTTGGGCTGTGAATGCATTTTCTTCTTTAGTTCTTTAGCTTGTTTAAATGGGTTGAAGAGAAGCGTGCCAGAAGCTGGTGGTACATCATTCCCACTGTGCTGTCACTAACCTGTGAAGAAGGAGAGGTGATGTCACTTGCTTTGGCACTGCGTGCACAGGGTTCAGTCCATTGGAGGGAAGGAATGATAGCCTAGACTCACGCTATGCTAGTCCTTGTGGTCGGGATAGTGGAACCACACTTAATAATCGGTGTCTATGAGAGTCAAACCATGTCCAGCCTGCTCTGAATTATTTCAACATAACAGGAAATGATCTGAGATCAAATGCTCTGTCCCCCTACCCTTTCACAAACCAAATTTAGTACTTCAGTGGGTTAGCGCCTAATCAGATCTCTTAAAACTTGTACCATCTAAATAATAGTGTCAAGTTCTGCCTGGGTCATGGCTTAGGGGCAATGTAAAGTCCTGATACAGCAACACGAATTTTGGTTTCTTTCACTTTCCATAGTATGTACAGTAGTTTATACTATTTTATTGGGTTTTTAGGACATTTAATCAAACCGTTGGAACTTATGAGGAGCTCCAAACCTACCTTGAAGGCTATGTGGCTAACCTGACCCGGGCTGATGAAAAGCGACATGCAAAGTAAGTCAGATCATTTGTTCTTCTTCGTATCTTCTTCAGTAGATAATCACAAAAAAAAAAAAAAAAAAAAAGTGATAGGTACGTCAGTAAAGTCATGGATGGTAGCTGATGGAGTTGGGCCTTTGGAAACAATAGGAATCAGTACACTAAAACTGTGTAGGTATGCTTATTGAGTCCAAGGAGTTTTCTTTTCTGAAAATTAGAGTACATAGAATCTCAGTATATTGATTTCCAACCAAGAACTAACTCTATCCAAAGAAAACTGAACACAGAAAAGAAGTGAAAGTGTTTTCAAATGATGGACTTAACTTTTGCTTTCTGATGGTAAGTTGACTGGTAAAACCACTAAAAATCAACCTCAACCCCCAAAGGAGTTAATGAAACTGTATTACTGTACAAAAGATAAATTGCCAAAAGATAAAATTTCCAATAGAAATAGGCAGACATAGAAGAAACAGTCTATTTTTAATGTTTCAGCCAAGCAGTAGTGTTATTAAAGGGTTTGCTTCCAATGGTGGACCACACCTATTGTTTCTGTGCCTCTGATTTCAGCCTAAGCACTGCTGGAATAATAGCAGAGTATGTTTTTCTTCCATGTAAAAATAAAGATTCACTTCTGTTTCTGCTAATTCTGCTCGAACTGTTACACTAGAGAAATTTCTTCTCCAAATTAAGAAGGAATTTCACCTCACCTCTCCTCTCTTTTTATAGGAGTATTAGGGTACTGTGATACACATTGCTGGCAAGGAAAGCATTAACCTATGTTAATTGTCTTAATGCAGAAGAAGATCCTTCTGTGGACAGTCGACCAAAGAGGTGACTTTGGAGATGATACAGCTGCAGGAGAAAGTAGCCCAGTTCTCTTCTTCCCCATTCCAGAATTTAGAAGTTGTCACAACTCTCGGTGTTGGTGGGTTCGGAAGGGTTGAGCTTGTAAGAGTTTGTTTTAAACATATTCAAGTAGTTCTCTGTCTTAAATAATTGATTTAGGTGCTGAAAGATGTGGAGGATTTTAACATTTATTCTGCATGATGTGACTCCTGGACAGAGATAATTCTATATAAGGCTTATTAAACGGTAGTTTCAGGACTTAGATGTTCAAAAAAACAAATCCACTCTTGTGTGCTTTCACCTCTTGTTGTTAAAAGTATCTTCCTCATCACTACATGTATATTCATCAGTTTGTGCTTGTGATGTTTACCGATGTGCCTACCTGTATTGTGTCCCCTGAATTGCAGGTCCTTTCCCCAGATTCTGCCTGAAGTGATCTCCAGGGTCACATAGCCTTTGTTATTGGAATTGCTTTGGTATGGCAACAGCTACAGGAAACAGTGCGATCTGATTCTGAGCTGTGTTCATTTTGAATTTTCCCACAATTTGTAATGGCTCTTTTGGGTCATATTCTATAATATGAACAGATACGTTTCTGGGATGTGAAGAGCCTCATTAGACTTAAGTCTTAAAATTCCACTTTGCTCTGGCTGGGTATCAAATATCTGAAAAAAAAGTGTGAACACTTCTTCTATAGGTTGCTGGACTCAATGGTAAACAAAAGGTGATTCTAATGAACACATATAGTCTTTACAGTAGCTAGACAATCAGTTGTTTTATTCTGAATCACACTTCACCAAACAAATTTCCATGTTGGTTGACTGCCAGTTTGGGAATTCTACAGCTTCACCTGGAAAATAAGCTAAAAATTAAATTCTTAGCTAGCCATAGAGCACTGATAGCTGCTACTTTGATTTCCTGGAAGCCCTGTTTTATCTACCATTTTGGATAATATTTCATTGTAAACATTCTTCATAAACTACCTCTGCTTTTTTATAATTATTTGTATTATGCTAGTATTTAGAGACCTCAAACTGAAATTAGGACCCATTGCAGTATAAACTAATCTTAAAATACAGTGCCTATCCAAACTGCTGCTGTTTTCTCTACACATCAAGGACAAAGATAGCATTATCTTCATTATAGTGAAGTTCCCAAGTATGGACTGGGACCCTAAAAAGCTCTGATGCTTTACTTAAAATCATACAGAATAGTTGTGCAGAAAATCTGGCATTTATCCATCATTCTAGTCATCAGTTTCAGTCCCATGCTGTGTTGAAATGGACTGACACCAATATACCTATTGAGAACGAATGGACAAAACTTCTTTACCTCATATGTACTTACCATTTTTATTCACAGGTTAAAGTGAAAAATGAGAACATCGCTTTTGCAATGAAGTGTATAAAGAAGAAACATGTAGTGGACACCAAACAGCAAGAACATATCTATTCTGAAAAGAGAATTCTCGAACAGATATGTTCTCCATTCATTGTGAAGTAAGTTCACCATAGAGTTTCCTTAAAACCTGACCCACTGAACAGCATTAGAATGAGGTTTCGCATAAATGAGTTCTGGAGAAAAGACATAGTGGGTCTTGCAATTCATTTTGCTTGTCCTAAATAGCTGTTTTTGTGTCTCCACAGACTGTATCGTACATTCAAGGATAGTAAGTACGTATACATGCTACTGGAGGCTTGCCTTGGAGGCGAATTGTGGAGCTTACTGAGAGACAGGTAACAGCAGCAGAAATGGAACCTTGTCCTTTGAAATCACCAGTCAGCTCCGTACATCTGCTGAGTAGGTTCTCTGTTTAGCTTGACTGGTATAGATCTATTGCGGAGGCTGTGAATGGGAAAGGGACCAGATTTTCAAAATTCATAGGCCTACAATACTTTCTTCCCCCCTCCTTTCTAAAGTTAGAGAATTTGTTGAGCAATCATCACTTCTTTGTATACACAAGATGCTGAAAATAAATACTTCCTGCTGGTTTCACAGAAGAGCCATACCATTTCAGTCTCATTCTGTTAATTTCCCATTGGATTTGAAAAAAAGAGACTATTGGGGTATTCAAACTTTCTTGGTGGCTGGTTTCTAAGGAGTAGGCATGAGCCGATGATAGTACGGTTTCTGTATTCATGGCTAGACTTGCAATATGTGACTGCTTTTAGCAGAGCAGCTCATCAGTGAACATATTGCAAAATAAGAACCGGATAGCATAAACATTGTGCCAGAGGCTGTCTTTGAGCTGCCTGGAGGACTTAACCCCTGCAACTGTTTGTTCTTCAGGCTCAGCTTGTGTCCCTTGGCCCCATCTATGTAGGTAGAGGAAGAACATGTCTGTAGTGGTTCTAATGCTAGTGTCTCTGAGTTTGCTGCTACCCACCACCACAGTTCACCATCTCTCCAGGAAGCAGAGAACAAGTCCTATGAAAAACTGAGCAGCAACTTCCTATACAAGAGGATAGGGATCTGTAGAACTTGAGAAAAGGAAAGAGTGAAGTGTGTCCTCAGCTAAGACTACCTGACATTATCAGGTAACTAGCAGCAGAGCAGTCTTTCCCTGCTGACAACCATGGCATGGGCCACTGCCATAAGATTATTGCACTGAATGCTGCTGAAACGTCAGCAATGAGCCTGAGAAAGAAAACACTGTAAGCAGCCCTCTCTGACTGAGAGAAGGGGAATCCTTCTTAGCAACTAATGGAATCCCTGCTCTGGCTAGAAGTGCTGTGGGATCTCTGTTAGTATTAGAGAAGCAAGATGCTTGCTTTCATGAACTTGTCTAAAAACGATTACTTGGAGTAATTCATTTGTACATATCCACAAATGTGCAGACTGTAAGCAAGTTAGGAGAGATTGTCTCTTTTGGTTGTTTCTTTATGTACGAAAAGGTTGGATCTAATCTGTCAGCATGGGAACAACCAAATTCAGCAAGAAGTACAGTAATAATTTGTTTGAAGATATTCTTGAGTTATAACGGTACTGTTGCCCTAACACAGTGTTTGATTTATTTCACATTTGGAAGTGCTGTCCTTCAGGGAGGTAGGACTGAGGATTTTGCTCCCTTTCTTTCACCAGAAAGTGGTTAAAGCAAATTTGTTTGCAAGTGGGGTTGTTCTTTGTGATAGCACCTGGCATTTCAATTGGTTGAAAAATTCCTTGTTCTCAATTTTTATTTTTTTTTTACTGTGGTGTCATTTGGCTCTTTTATTATAAAGTGGCTGCATTTCACTGTTAGATGAGGTTATTGTGCACTTGCAGTGTATCTAAACCTTTGAGATTTTTTTTTGCAGTGAGAGATGAAGTATCACTCAAAATATTGTCAAAACAAGCAAAATGATTTACAAAATGTGATGATTCAAAGGCTGTCTCATGAAAAGATATTTGGTTTAGCTTCAACCACATGAGTGACATACAGAATGTCAATGCAAAAATGTTGTTCGTGTTCTGGGTGTTACATGTTATATGATTATTGAGTGAGGTATTTTTAGAAGTTAATACTATCTGCAAAGTTAATGATTATTTTTTTTCTTCCAGAGGCAGCTTTGATGAACCCACTACCAAGTTCTGTGTTGGGTGTGTGACAGAAGCTTTGGACTATCTACATCACATAGGAATTGTCTACAGGGACCTGAAGCCAGAAAATTTAATTTTGGATGCTGAAGGATACATAAAATTGGTAAGATGTACTGTTATCTTTTTGTGCCTGTATCCTGTTTCCTTGCAGGGGGATATAAATAGGCAGCATGTAATTATAGTACCAGGATCCTGGAGTTTAATATCCCTTACTTTTCAATAGAAAAGAGGGCAGGCTACTGGTTGTGTGGTGAGGAACAAAGACATTGCAAAGCTATTTCAAGCCACAAAATGGGGATCTGCAGCCTCCAAGAGCTCTTGCCACAGAGTAAACCCTAAAAGCACTGTCTCCCACCAGCCATTCTTAATGAAAAGGCAGGAACCATTTTTTCCCAGGACCAGAATGCCCTCCCTGTCCAGCCTCAAGCAATCATAGGTTCTACATTATCTCTGTAGAAAGGGAACACAGTGAACAACAACTGCTGTACTTGTCTATGACAGTCAAATTGGAGAGACATTATCCTTCAGAGAGCTTGAAACATCCACTCTTGAGGACAATGAACAACCCACCCTTTTCCATGGGCGGTAAATCTTGTATCCTCAAGGAGAACACGGGTTGTTCTGTCCAAAACAAGAAATCATCTGGGAAATTACTCATGAAAGTAAATGGGACTACTAATACTCAGTAATCCCATGGAATTACTTCTCTATCCTTCCCAGTAACACTGTAATTGTTCAGCTATGAACAATTGGTTTTACTGGTGACTGTGAGATCTCTAGAGGAGGTGTGGAAGCAGTTAGGATCTTAAACTTTCTCAGTGCAAAGCATGTCTATGTTATACAGCATATGTTCATTTTCATCAGGTTGATTTTGGATTTGCAAAGAAGATCGGGTCAGGACAGAAAACCTGGACATTTTGTGGAACCCCTGAGTATGTTGCCCCAGAAGTCATTCTGAGTAAAGGCCATGACTTCAGTGTGGATTTTTGGTCCCTTGGGATTCTTGTGTACGAACTCCTTACTGGCAGGTAAGTGCCTACTTCTGCCAAGTTCTTACCTTATTTATCTGTTTTGAAGAATACTTTAAAGGTTATTTTTAAAATGAATTTTGTTATTTTCCCCATCAGTAAACAGGAACAACTTGCAAACTGATATTTTTTTTGTCTCTTCTGTGTGTCTACTCATACATCATTTCAGAAATGTCACAGATGATCGAGGCAGGGGACCTATCTTCAGTTCTGGCTTATCCATCCAAGGAAAGAGCCAGACACAGGCTATAGACACAATTGTAGAGTTCCTTTAACAGATGCTCATGCTCCCTATAAGGAAGACCTAACAGCAGGCTGTTCTCACCTTCATTGGGCGAAGGGGTGCAGCAGGTTGGGTGAACTGTGAGCAGGGCTCATTCTTTGTCCCCATGCACACTTACATGACACTTCTTTGTGTCCAGTTGATGTTAGTACAACATGGAAGCTTCTGAGTCAGGCTTGGGGCAGGGTTAGCTTTGACAGACACGTGTCATGCAGTATCCCTGATTCCTACAGGCAGTTTGCCAACTTCACACCCTTCAACTATCTTAAACAGGCTGAAATGCAGGTTGTCAAGCTAGGAAGGTTTTGTTTGTTTGTTTGGTTTGTTTTGTTTTGTTTTTCCATATTCTCAAATGTTGGCTTGGATAAGAAATGACCAGATGTGTTCTTGCCAGCAATTTTATGTAACGTTGTTTTCTTTTTCTAGTCCACCGTTCTCCGGGGCTGATCAAATGGTGACATATAATTTGATTCTCAAAGGGATTGAAAAACTGGACTTTCCTAAAATAATAACAAGGCGGCCTGAGGATTTGATCCGCAGACTTTGCAGGTAGGAGGGGCAGTTTGTGACGGAGACTGGGTGTAGATAGTTTGAGCTATTTAAGATCCAGACTAAAGTCATAAATTCCTTACAACTCCATTTAACATTGTTATGCCTAACATGGTCCATTCTGATTATGTTCAGTACACATGCATGCCTCTGAGCATGTCACGCCTCTTAGTCTGCACAGCCTTAAATGCAGGGTGTGGGCTTCCTCTGTAAGTATGAATTTTTCTGTAGTTTTCTGAAAGACATTTTAGGGAAAATGTGTGTAGCTGAGGGCTAAGGAAGGAGCTAGAGAACTAGGTTTTATTACCAAGTGCAGTGTTTTAAGAAATGCTTCCAAAATTACTAAGGCATATGGCTCCTCCACAAAGCTTAGGTCCTAATTTAGGGGCTGGCTTAAGCCCATTCAAAAGTGTGCAAAAAGGTTCTGTTTCAAAAGGAGCTGCCTAACTCAGAAGCATTAGCACATTGTCACAGTCACAGCCTGTGACTGGTGACACTGCTGACTTTGAAGTCCCAGCTCCTGTGGGATTTCATTCACGGCTCTAGGAACACATAGCTGTGTTTGCGCAGTGGGATTAAAAGGATCTTTGAAGCTGCTAATTTTGGCCTGCCTCCTTTTACAATTCATGAACAGACCTTCTGGCCAAGAAGATGTAAGGTGTGCAACTAAAATTCAACCACTTAGCTTTCCTACTACTTCTAACAGCAGAGTGACACTGTCTTGGCTTCTAAATTGGAAGATTTCTCCATCTTTGGGAGAAAGGAGGAGAGAGAAACACCTCCTTATGTCTCCTCATCTGACTATATGTTGTATGCAAGCTTCCTCCCTGAGTAACTGTTCAGGGCAAGCAGTCAGAACCAACGCTCTTTTCCAAAAATTAGAACATTTTCAAAATTTTTATTCTTATTCTTTTTCTGTTTTTAAGGCAAAACCCTACAGAAAGATTAGGCAATCTGAGGAATGGAATTAATGACATCAAGAAGCACAGGTAAGTGAAAGAAACTGCCAGGAAGAAAATTTGTTTTTTAATTTGAGAATATTTTTGGTATTTTAGAACCCAGTCCACTAACTCCATAAGGCTTCAGACCATTCCAGACAGATTGTGTAAGAGATACTCGATTATGTTTGCTACTTCAGCAAGCAACAATATCAACATAAATCCTCAGCAGGATCAGCTAGAAACATCTTCTTGTTGACTGTTTTTTGTTACAGGTTGCTGACATAGAAGTTTAATTCCATTTGCAGAAAAATGAATGCCAGTAGTATTCAGGATTATCTGCCCTCTTAGATCTCCTGAGTCTCTGATCTAAAGCCAAACAGTTGCTGTTCAATAAGAGTAGTTAATGGCTCTGGAGCAATATCAGATTTATGTCCTCTTTCTTTTAATCAAGAAAGACCTCAGTGGATTAGACATTTCCTGCTTTTTCTTTTCATCTTAGTTATTTCTAAGCCCTGCAGTCTGTTCTGTGGAAAAGAAGTGCTTTGGCTCTTCTGTTTGTCTCCCTTTTCTCATGTTGTTAAAAGAGAGCTGAATCCCAAGGTGACAGACACATACATCTTTGTGTGGTACTGCTTTTGCATATGCATCCGTGTGCACTAAACCATCTACTTTAGCCTGCCTGCTCCTTCAACACTTCTGCAGAGAGGAGATGCCATGTACCTGCTGGTTCTGAAGCTCTCCCTGCTACTGCTTCCTTGTATGGCAAAGACAGTGCTGAAGCTTCCCACTCCTAACAAGTGTGTTGTCACATGGACTGTTGTCATGCAAAAATGTTCTATAGCCCTTGTTCACATGCATTTAAACTTTTAATAATATAATGCTTCTAACAGAAAATGGTCTGTTTCTCAGTCTCTCCCTGTCAGTCTCTCATTTCTTTTTAATCAGGTGGTTGAATGGTTTTAACTGGGATGGTCTGAAAGTGAGGAAATTAACATCACCTTTAAAAAGAGAGGTATTGGCTCTGGCTTTCAATATCTTCATGCTTTACTAATATAAAGGTGTTTGACTGCAAAGAAACAGCTGATGAGAAGTGCAGAATTTCCCCCAAATGTATTTGCATTATTATAGCTCTCCATGTTTAATGAAAACTGAAGGAAGGAGAGAGAGACCCAAGCGATACATAACTTAAATTCGGTTAGATAATGGAAATGTAGTTCTGCCTGTGTACTTTGCCGTAGTTTTTCACCATTATTATAATAAATGGTGATGATGAACCAAAAAAATGTATTTTCTTAGATGGGCATTTTAAGATGCACTGCTCACTTTACTGTGCAGAGTACAAATTCCTATATTTTCATGGTATTATGGCACATCCATAAATAAACTTCACCTTTTAAGTGGACCATTTCTCTTTGCCATAAAATGAAAAAAAGATTGAGGGTAAAGAATCTGAAGCTGACTTTGAACACAATTTGAAATAAACAATTCCACGATCTGCTTTGAGTAGTTACCCCATGTTTGTAGATGAGGTGTTAAACAAATTTGAATCAAAACTGAACTTAGCATGGCCCAGTTTTCTTACTAACTTTATAGGCCTCTGGATGAAATCCTGGATTTCATAATATTTGGGGAGTGTTTTTGTACATGGATGCTAAAGCTATTGTTCTGTTGTACAAGTTAATTTCTAGAGTTGTAGCTTTTAAAGAAGGAGGAATTTAATCCAGTGAAAGAAATCATCCCTTGTCATGTTAGCCTTTCCTCCCTCCACTGGCAGCAATATAAATGATGCATAATCAATAGAAAGTATTTTCAAAAGGTACCTTCTGAAATAACTATTTCTTTGTGTTTTTCATGTCATAGTTGTCTGGACCAACTGACTACAGCTACTTTGATAGCTATCCACCTGAAGAGGGAACCCCTCCAGATGAACTTTCAGGCTGGGACAAGGATTTCTGATACTTCCTTCTTCCGGGACATTTATAGAGACTCATAGGCATCAGTTCTAAACCAGTTCTCATGTTTCTTGCTTAAAATCAAAGCACGCAAAGTTTTTGACAAGCATGATGTTCCCTGAAGAATAGAAGACAGTGAAGCAACCAGAATCTGTTTGGGTAACACACCAAATTCTCTGTGTGCCTCTAGATAACAAGGGCATGCAGATGCGACCTGAATACTTTTTGATATACGGTGTCTCTGTGAGCATTTTCAGGCACTGTGGGTGGGATGTATGGTTTTGCTATTGGAAGTTTCACTAGCTACTTTTGATATTAAAAAGGTTCCTACGTGTCTTAATTTTTTAAAAAAGGGTTAGGATTAGAGGCCCATGTGGCATTTGTCAATAGATGACACTATAGGCATTTATTTTTCATTCCATTATAAGTTTATTGTTTTACTTTTTCCAGTAATGGACAGAACCGCTTTCATCTAGAAGCATGTAGAAAAGACTTCTGCAACGTTGATTTGATGCTGCAGTTCGAAACTGCTTACCAGTTTAGTTTTGCTCTGGGTTAAGTATGTGAGACAGGCTGTAACACATCAAAGGAAAATCCAGTAAGAAATGAGTTGTATGCATAATAGAAGTTTCCTGGAGAAGCAGACTGTAGTATGTGTTTCTCTAACTGCTTCAAAGAGCTATGTCCCTTTCTTAAAATGCTGTGCTTTTATGTAGTGTGAAGATAAAATAGATGGACAAAAATCATTTACCTTGCAAGAAAAAATACAAAAGTACAGAATCCTGTGTTCTCCTTCAAACGTTCTTTCATTGATATTTTAGTTTTCATTGGTATTTTGCAGAAGCACTAGATATGTTTACATCAGTGCTAAAACTCCCTCCCATTTTCAATGTTCTGCTTGTTCTCACTAGATGTGAAATACCGTTTCAAATCATATTTCATTAACTTATACCTATTCTTAGTTCTACATGTACAGTGGGAAAATAAGAGAGTTTTTTTTTTTTCTTTTGTAGAAAATTCTGTTCATGAATCAGTTTAACTATTGTGTTCTATTTTGACCATCTTCCTTTCTCCCTCCTGGCTGCGAATGACGTTTAGAAAGGCAAGAAATGATAAGCTTTTCTCAAAAACAATATAGAAATATGATTGTTTTTTGTTGCTCAAATGTTCAAGCTCTATTTTCACCTTCTTTGGCACAAGGAAACAAATTGTGAACCAGAACCACCAAACAGCTTGAGCAAGGAAGGCCAGCAAAAAGCAGACAAGGTGGTCAGGAAGCTGCGAGGAGAGTCTGAGGGACATGGACTTGTTCAGCCTGGAGGAGGGAAAGCTTTGGGGCACCTTATATGATCAGGTAGAGCCTTGAGAATCTCAGTCTGAATCCATTGTTGGCCCTGCTGTGAGCAGAAGGTTGGACTGGAGACCTCCCGAGGTCCTTTCCAGCCTGAATGATTCTGGGATTCCAGGAAATAATTTTAACTGTCAGCCAGTGGTGTAAGTAGAATATAGCAAGATGTGCTTTCCCATATGACTTTATATATGCCTGATTTTTGTCACTTATCCTTTAGATCATGAGAACAGGGGAGTCAGTCTGAAACATTGATTGGATAATAAATGCAGTTGGATGTTGTGTGTTCATGGTTTAAACGGAAAAACTCTGCTGCACTCTGTTATGAGCCACGACTGCTATAGGAACAGACATGTTCCTGGGGGTCATGCTGGGCTTCCAAGCTCAGTGCATCTGCAGCCCCTACTAGGATTTGTTTCATTTCCCGCTAAAGCAAAATCCAATCTAAATGGAGATAATGAAGATGCCTCAGCATCCTGCATTTCACATGCTGGATGGAAAACCTCCCAGGAAACTTGTAAAATGTGCTCAGGGCTTAGTTACTGATGACTGCTGTATGCTTAGTGGCTGGTCATGACCTATCCCAACTGGGCAACAGAGGGACTGCCCCAGGGACTGTCCACTTTCCCCATTTCTGGTAAGTGAAGGAACCTGAACCTCCACTTCCTAAGGCCAGTGCCAAACTTCATTTTGCCTTTAATAGGAGTCTACAGGGACCTGGGGCTGGATTCCCTTAGTAATTGGTGAGGAAGGAATGTTCTTTTTGGGGGAACTTGTTCTTCACTGAACCTCTGCTGGGTGAACTTCTGGTTGTGCTGTGGCAGAATGTTAATTTGGCTGGTTTGGGCAGAAGGCTAACAAAATGCTTCCATAAAAAATTGTAACAAACAAAACAATGTAGTTATTGAACTTATTTATTACACTGTGTGGGCTAATTGATTTTTCCATGTTAACAAGTATTTTTTACTGCTGAGTGGTCATTGGTTTGACAGCAAATCACTTTACGTATTCTGTAGAAATTTCAGTCCAAGTAAAGTAGTATTTTCCACTGAATGTAAAGGAGGTTGGATGGGGCCCTTGGAGGAAGACAGCACCCATTTTTCTGATTCTGTTTCCCTGCCTGGTTGTAAGCTATCACGGGAGCTCGAAGCCAGCAAAGCCTGTGTGAAGTAGTGGTAAGCATACACAGCCAAGAGGGTGGAGCAGAGGCTTTAAGCTGGGACGTTAGATGCTTCAAACTCTTGCAGCTAACTCTGCTTAGTGACACCAAAGAGCAGATTCTCTTTTCAGGATTTAGAAAAGCATTAGACATTATGGTGTGTGTTTCTCTGTGTGTCCGTTTCTGTCTTTCTCTCATAAATATGTTTATTAAAATACTGTTGAGCCAAGTTTTATAAAAAGCTTTCAAATGTATTTTTCCATTGTATTTATAGGTAATTTTCTTTTATATATATAAATATAATATATATATATATGTTTTTTAAGTGAAGAAATAAAAGTAGGATGTTTAGTGCAGTTAGCAATTAAGCCTGTGCAACTGTAGGATGTTTTCTTTATACAGCAATCATATATTTTGTTTAACCTGCAGTGTGTGCAAATAAAAGAAGTCTACAGTGGAATGTGCAGGACTTTCCCTTTGTACAGTCTCATTCCATACAGCGGTCTGGATTCTTAGTCCTGAATTGTGCTTGGGGTCCACATGTTTCAGAAGAGACTGAGGCAGAATAGACTACCCTGGGCACAGAGTCGCAGATGTTACTTCTTTCAGCATCCCCCCCCAACTATGCATTCCCTGGTTGACACTGAGAAAACATAATGAATGCATAAGACGCTACAATAAATGAGGTCCCAAGCCCTTTTGTATTTATGTAGAGGTCCCAAGTACATTTGGTTCATTTCTTTTCTGCCATGTATGCAGATGACTGAGCTGTAATTTTCCAGAAACAGAAGCTCATACAGTACAAACTAAACATGACTTGAACTATCCCAAACTGTCTTTAACAGCTGGAAGTACTTCAGGATTCATCTCCAGCCCCAGGGGAGTTATGATGTTGTAAAACAAGAGCTCAGACTGGCAGTTCAGGCTCAAGTACCTCCATGGTGCTGGAGATGGTGGGAGATCTGAATGGACAGCTATGAGTGTGATCACATTATCACTTACTGTTGCACTTCGCAGTCTTAAGGTCAGTTAAAAACAGGTTTTGATACTCAGGTTTTGGGCACACTGTGGATACGTCTGAGGTCACTTGTCTGAGGTTTTTCCTCGGTGCTCTCACTTCTGTTACACCTTTCTGTCAAATTGCTTTTATTTCATGGCTCTGAGCAACCTGGGTGTCTCTCTGCTTTTTTTCCATTAACTTCTGCCACTGGAGGCAGGAGGGGTGATGATTCTTCCCAATGGAGGACTGAGTTGAAGACCAGTTGGCCTGCGCTGCACAGATAGAAGCAGCTCTTCTCAGCTCCCGCATTAGAACAGAGACGTGGGAGCACCTCAGAGGGACAGACGGGCAAGAGCAGCAGCAGAGCGTAAGCCAAGATTCCCAGGTATATGCTATTTCTATCCAGCTAGTGGGAGTGATTAATCTTCACCATGTCCTCACAGCTGCCCCATCGGGCCTCAGGAAAGGGGGGGCTAGCTACTCTGTGCCCTGAGATAACAGCCTGGTTCTTTACATTGTGCACAAAATCACACCAGACAGAGAGTTACAGTTTCAGAGTAGCTTAGCCTGCACAGCAGCCACAAGGTGGCTAATTGTTTTCTTCCAAGTCTGAGGTTCCTTGTTTGCCCCACTAATGTTGCATGACAATCTGTTTGGGGGATAGCGAGACATCAGCAAGATTTCCCTCAGCATTCAAGTGCATCCTTTCGCAGAACTCCTCAGTGTTAGATCACTGTGACTTCTGACACACGGGGACTTCGGGCTGGTTGGTGGGAGCTGGCACAAAGCTACTGAAATAAGGTGAGCTCCTGATCCACACAAGTCAAGGGTAAACTGTGGCTGACCTCCTTTAGCCAGTATTGCATTGATGCACAGCAGCTGAGAAGTGGCAAATGTAATTTTTAAAAGCTTATCTGATGTTCTTTGCAGAGCCAAAAGCCATTACCTTTACCAAGGCTGCTGGCCAGCTACATCAAAAGCCAGAATGAATATTCCAATTAAATTATTGGGCTGATAGTAGCAGGCATGGCTGCTTAATTATCTAGTAAGTCACTAGGGAAGTCCGTCCCCAGGAAGATGGCAGGACACACCATTTTGCTAAAGAGAAAATGCTCAGGAAAACGAAAGCTTAAATACACCCTGGTGTGTCTCGAAAAGGCCCCCAGCAATGTTGTATGGCTACACAGCTTTAGTGCCTGGCTGCCGAGAGCTTACATTGCTGGCGTTTGCTGTCATGTTTCCTTTTGGTTAGGGAAGCCGACAGAAATGTGCTGGACCTTATCATGAGCTATGTCCTCTGTGGCACGTTGCTCTGCTGGGGACCAAGCGAGAGGGGACGGTGTCCTTGTCCTCTGGGTCAGCGCATTGCACTTTACGCAGGGGATGTCGGAGGCAGGTGTCTGTGCTGGGGGACACTTCTCCCAGCCCCTTTGCATCCAACTTCATGCTCGTGCTGTGCCTAGGAGGTGCCACAGCCAGGCAGGCAGGGATGTGGGAGCATCCTCCATGCTGAGTTTAACACTCAGGTGGTGACAGAAGGCATCGACTGAGCTGAGCTGAGCTCAGCCCTAACCTTCTGCCCCAGAGCCAGTGGCTTCAGCTTCCCCAGGTGAGTGGGATGCTGGGGCTTGGCCTGGTTCCCCTCATGTTTCCTGGGGGACTGACTGCCCCTCTCGGAGGCAGCGGCTTCATTTGCAGTTTGAGGATGCTCCAGCTCTCCTGTGAGGAGCTGAACAGCTCTGAGGTACCTTCTCCTCTGTGGTGGGTGAAATCTGTTTTGCAACAAGGTCTCTACAAATAGAAGATTAGATTGGGTTAGGTTTATTATTTGAGCTTGCACGCTGTTTAGCAGTAGCCATTACCGTGCAGAACTGCATAAACAAGGTATTTATCCATGCAGCTATTGCAGAAGGCAGCTAGGGGAAGCCCCTACCTCTGCTTGTGCTTGCAGGGCCTGCAGTCTGAGAGCTGGAGCCATCTTCCAGCTCAGCCAGTGCCCCCCCCCCCCCCATGTGCCCTGGTGACACTGGGCCCTGCAGCAGAGCGGGGGGTTCACAGGTGAACCCTGCAGGATGGGCAGCCTGGTGCACGTTGCTGCTTCCGACTGTCCTTAAAGCCATGGCCACATTTCAACCATCTGTCAAAGAATAATTCATCAGTGTCGACATCCTGGGCCAGTAGCCTGTAATAGACTCCCACAACGACATCCCCTCTGTTTGATCATCCCTTAATCCTTACCCAGAGGCTCTCAACTTTGGTGAGGTGGGCAGGGACAGGGCTCAGGATTTCTATTTAAGCAGAGCTCGCTGTGCTGCCTGATTTAAGTAAGTTAAGGGCCACTAGCACCATCCCATAGCAGCAGGGAGGGTTTAATGTGTGAAGGAGTAAGGGCAACAGAACTAACAACTGGTACAGCCACGTTGTGGCCGGGGGTAAGCCACTGGGAGACTGAAATCTGCAGCCGAGGAGCCCGGCAGTCAAAGCAGAGATCTGGAAATGAACCATCTGCAGAAGGAAATACTGTGGAGGGCTGGCCGGGCAGTCGGGTGCAAGGAAGAAGCCAGAAACCAGAAGTCTTTTAATATTCCCCCGATGCCACCCGAAAGAGCATTTGAGCTAAGTTTTTTTTTTTACAGAAATGCACTCGGATGCCATCAATAACCATACAAACGAGCTGCTGCTGCCTACAGGGAGAGACAGACAACAGCCAATCGGTTAAATATTTTGCATAAATACTTACAAAAGTGTCAAAAAAACTTATAACCGCTTTCAATTTATTGCTGTGGCGCTTGGGCTGGAACAGTGCTGGAGGAGGAGGAAAGGGAGTAGCGAGCAGTGGTGATAGCACTGCTGCCACCCTGCGACAAGCAGCAGCACGGGTAACTGCAGCTCTGCCCGCATCCTGCACCGGCCTTCCCAGCCCAAACTGGGACACCGAGCTGGAGGCTTTCTCCCAGCTGTGGCCGGCACTGAGGGCCCCTGGTGGGGCGAGTGGCAGCGCCGAGAAACCACGACAATGGACAGACCGGGAGCTGACGTTCAGGCACCAGCACGAAAAAGGTACAAATTTTACTTGCTTTCTACCCAAAAGGAGCCCCTCTGCAGGAGCTTCTCCACCAGAGCCTCTACACAGGGGTCTCCCGGCCGTGGTGTGTCTTGTGGATGGGTGCACACGGGCATGGGAACACGCACAGGTAAGAGCCCAGGGGCACACACGTGCTTCAAGAGCTGAATTCTGAATTAACTTGTAAGGTAAGCACCTGCTCTGCTCCTGTAACAGATGCTGGCCTTCCTAGTGGTAATTTGGCCCTAATTGATGATACATTGACACCTGGGTCTCCTAAGTGGCATGCCTGCTAACTGGGGGTGACTGAGCCCACGGACACGGGGCCTCTCAGTCCTCACACACTGCAGGCTCCTGAGAGGCCCCGTCTCTGCTTTCATGCACCCTGGTGGCTGTTGCTGTGACTGCTTTGGAGGGCAGGGAGCTCAGGCAGCATCGAGAGCTGTGTCTTCCCAGCTGCAACACGAGGCTGCCACCTCACTGGGGGCTTCTCCAGCACAGCTGATGGCACACGGGAATGGCCAAAAGCTAGGAAGCCTCAGCCCTGAGCCCAGATGAGGAGCATGGACCTGGCAGCACCAGGGGATATCGGTGCTAAAGGCAATGTCTGGTGAGTGCCCTGACAGTGAGGTGTGTGGGGGCAGCTGCCAGGGTTGGGCAAGCAGCAGTTCCCCAGGGAATGCCAAGGTGAGGGAGCTGGCACTGGCTAGGGGTTAGGAGGAAGTGTTTCTGCTTGTGGTTTCGTGTTTATTGGTCACTGATCCATTTGCTTCATTGGTCTTTAGCCAGCTTGCTTGGTTTGTCTGAAAAGTTGCCTTCCATTCTAGGGGCAACACCTTCCTGGCTTTATTGCCACATAGCCAGTACCACCCCTTGCCATTTGGGACAGGCCAGCTGGTTACAGGGTTCTCATGTTTTATCTAGTGTGCCTTATGTATATTAGCATTCCCGTGGCTACCATATTTAGTACAGTATGGATTATTCCCTATTTCATGGATATTTCCACACCCAGGGTCACTAATATTTCCCCAAGTTTTCTATCAATGTTGTTTAAAAGGCACCTTTGATAACACAGTATATTGTAGCCAGGACTAGGTGTAGGGAGCTCAACTTCCTAAAATCTGTTCCTTCCCAGGACTGGGTATGATCTGTCATTTTTATAAATCTAGAGAATCCAGACACAGTTGCTGCTGGGAATAGCAATCAGGGACAAGACCTTTTCAGTCTTTCTAGGCATCTGGGTACAAATCCAACAATTATTTCGAGATAGAACTCAAGAGATGTTCTGGATTAATTGGAAATGCTGATTTCATCCTATCGCTATCCCACTGAGAATAGGTATTACTAAGATAAACTTAAAATACATCATTTCTATGTATATACATGTATACACCCCTATA